TTCCTACTGAGCAGGGAGCCTGAGGTGGGGCTTTATTCCAGGACCCTGAGATCATGACCTGGGGTGAAGGCAGACACTCAACTGACTGAGCCACCCGGGTGTTATTTTTATGCTCACTGCATTTTGAGTACTGTTTAAGAAATTTGTGTCTTGGGCCCCTGGGTGGCTCAGTCAGTTAAAGGTCTGCCTTTGGTTCAGGTCACCATCCCATGGGCCTAGGATAGAGTCCTTGGATCCCTGCAGAGCAAGGAGCCTACTTCTCCCTCTGTCCCTCCCCCAACTTGTTCTGTCTCTCTCTCTCTCAAATAAATAAAATCTTTTTTTAAAAATTTGTGTCTTCCAAGGTCATGAAAATATTTTCCTGTGTTTTCTTATTGATGTTTTGTTTTACTTTTCATATTTAAGTCTGTGATCAATCTTGAATACATTTAGTGCATGGTGTGGATAGGAGTCAAGGTTTACTTTTTCATATGGCTATCCAATTTATCTAGCACTATTTTTTGACAAAACCATCAATCATCCTTTCTTCATTGAATTGTAGTAGTACCTTTACTGTAAGGGTAGACCAGGTGTTTATACATGTGTAGTTTAGTTTCTGGGCTCTCTATTCCACTCGACTTAATGGATCTATTTGTTATCCTTTCCACAAAATCAGACTTGACTAGTTTTATAATACATATCGATAGGGCAGGATAGGTAGATCCTACACAAATTTATTGTTTCGAGAATGTTTTGGCTATTTTTTTTTTTTTTTGAGATTTTATTTAGTAATCTCCACACCCAATGTGGGGGTTGAACTTACATCCCTGAGATCAAGAGTCACATGCTCCACTGACTGAACTGGTCAGGCACCTCAGAAGTACAGTTTAAAAAAAATATATTGACACTGCAGTGCACCTGGGTGGCACAGAGGGTTGAAACCTCTGCCTTTGGCTCAGGTCATGATCCCAAGGTCCTGGGATCGAGTCCCGCATCCGGACTCTGCTCAGCAGGGAGCCTGCTTCCCTTCCTCTCTCTCTGCCTGCCTCTTTGCCTGCTTGTGATCTGTCAAATAAATAAAATCTTTTTAAAAAAATTAAAAAAAATATTGACATTGCAACTAATTTCCTTATTAAATTCTTATTAACTCTAATAGTTTGCCAGATTCTTTTAGTCCTTCTCCATAGATAGGCATGTCAAATGCAAATGAGTTTTATTCTTCCTTTCCGATTTTTATACCTTTATTTACCTTGCCTTATTAAACTGACTAGAACTTCAAGCAACATTGAGTAGAAGTGGTAATAGTGTACATTTTTGTCTTGTCCCTTAACTCAGAAAATTGTTATTTCACTATTATGATGTTAACTGCAGAGGTTTTTTGAGGTTCCCCTTTTCTTAATGTTTCCCTCTATTCTTAAGTTTGCTGAGTTTTTACTATGAATGGCTGTTGAGTTTTATCAAATTTTTTTTTCCTATCAAGATGGCTTGTATTGTTTTCCTTTTACTGTATGGTAAATTGCATCAATTACTTTAAATGTTAAACTAGCCTTTTATTTCTGAAATAACCCTACTTAGTTATGATGTATCATCCCTTTTATTACTGGAATCAATTTCTAATATTTTGGTTAGGACAGTAGTATAAAAGAGATGGTCTATAATTTTTTTTTCTTGTATTATTCTTGTCAGGTTTTGTTATCAGGGTATTTCTGGCCTTATAAGACAAGTTGGGAAATACACTTTCTTTCTATTCTCTGGGAGTGTATATTTTTAAGATTGGTATTATTTCTTCCTTAAGGAAGATTTCATCAGAAAAGAGAATCTGACCCTATAGTTTTCTTTGTGGAAAAGCTTGTAATTTCAGAGTTTTTTTAATTATTATTTAATTTGACAGAGATCACAAGTAGGCAGAGAGGCAGGCAGAGAAGGGGGCAGTGGGGGTGGGGTGGGGAGCAGGCTCCCTGCTGAGCAGAGTCCAATGCAGGCCTTGATCCCAGGACCCTGAGATCATGACCTGAGCGGAAGGCAGAGGCTTTAACCCACTGAGTCACCCAGGCACCCTTGGAATCAATTTCTTCAATAAAGACAGGACTATTGAGATTTTCTATTTTTTCCTAGGACAGATTTTTTTTTTTTTTAAGTAGGCTCCACATCCAGTGCAGAGCCTAACTGTGGAGCCCAGTACAGGGCTTGAACTCATGACCCTGAGATCAGAGACTCAAGCCCAGATCAGAGAATCAAGTCCAGATCAAGAGTCGGATGGGAAGCCTACTTCCCACATCCAGCTCTCTGCTCAGTGGTAAGCCTGCTTCCCCATCTCTCTCTGCCTGCCTCTCTGCCTACTGGTGATCTCTGTCAAATAAATAAATAAAATCTTAAAAAAAAAAAAAAAAAAGAGTTGGACACACAACTGACTGAGCCAGCCAGGTTGCCCGTCTTGGCACAGATCTGGTAAGTTGTGTTTTTCAAAGGATGTGTGTACTACTTCAAATTTGTCAAATTCTTTGAACTAAGGTGTTCATAACCTTTTGTTTTTAATGTCCATAGGATCTCGTTTTTTTGATGCATGGGGCTCAAATCACCACCCTGAGATCAAGCATCGCATGCCTTACTGGCTGAGCCAGCCAGGCATCCCTCCAGTGTTTCTTTAGATACTGGTTACTTTTTTTTTAATTCCTTGATCTGTTTTACTAGGAGTTTATTAGATTTTTTATTAACTTATAGGCATATGATTTATGAAGGTCTTTTTTTTAAGTCAGCTTAAAACATGGGGCTTGAACGCAAAATCATGAGATCGAGAGTCACATGCTCTATCAACTGAGCCAGCCAAGAGCCTCATGCAAGTTTTTTTAACATCCATATGTGTTGGGTGTTAGTATGATTTCCCGGTTTTTAGGTTTCCCTTGCTTTATTCATGTGTAGAAGCAAACTGATTAACTGCTCTTCATTCTACATGTGACTTACAGAACATTATTCATAATCATCTACTCTCTACATTTAAAATCACTAGCTTCTGAAAACCTTGTCCTCAATACTACAACACTATTTTCCTTAACTAGCTTTGTCTTTACTTTCAGCTTAAATTCTCAAACTATTTTTTAAAACATGTTATCTATTCGAGAGTGAGCATGAGCAGGGGAAGGGCAAATGGAAAGGGAGAAGCAGGGTTCCCACTGAGCAGGGAGCCTGCAGCGGAGGATTGACCGCAGGACCTGGAATCATGACTTGAGCCGAAGGCAGATGCTCAACCTGTTGCACCACCCAGGTGCCCCTAAATTTTCAAATTCTTAATCTCATTCTAACATGGTCACACTTTAGAATTCAAAATTATAGAGCACTATTCACGTCTACAGTTTTGTACTTCATGTCATCTTTGTCTACCACCTCTTTCCCTATTATCTGCCACTCATGATTGCAGCTACTTATGTGCCAAGGAGTTGGGAGGTTTTTTTTATTTTTAAGATTTTATTTATTCATTTGTGAGAGAGAGACAGAGAGAACACAAGCAAGGGGAGAAACAGAGGAAGAGTGAGCAGCAGACTCCCTGCTGAGCTGGGAGCCCTATGTGGGACTCGATCCCAGAACCTGGAGATCATAACCTAAGCTAAAGGCAGATCTTTAACCCCCTGAGCCACCCAGGCGCCCCGAGTTGGGAGTTTTAAACTAAAAGCAAAAGGGAACTTCAAAACTTTGAATCAGAAGAGTGACATGACCTGAAATGATAAAGCATTATTTTTTTCTACAGAACTTGAGCTCTTCACTTCACTTATTCACTTTTACATCCTATGTAGCAAGCTGTACTTTGTACATATAAAAAATGTATGAATTTCACTTGTCCTCTGTGAAAAGAGAAAACCAATAAACTGCCATTTCTTAAGGACTGTTATTCTGAATTGTACTTCCTAATTTCTCATATTAAATTAATAGTAGATGTTTCCTAATGCCTTTTCTCAATGAAATTAGAAAGATGAAAATAAACCCTGCATACAGTCCAGATCACTGATGACAAGTCCTTCCGCAGGGGAAGCAGATGATAAACAAGACTAACTGCTTTCTTCCTTCCTTCTATAGTAACAACATAGTAATTTTATAATTTAAAAAAACCTGATGATGGAAAAAACATTATTCCCCTCCTTAGAGATATTCTTATTATGTTCTGAATTTAGTTAATTTTTCCCTCAACATTTTATAATGAAAAATTTCACATACCTAAGAGTTGAATGAAATTTATGGGGAACATGGATAAACCCAGCATCTATATCTTTCGAATTTTTCACATTTACTTCATTACAATATGAAGAGTTTATTGTGCCTTATAGGTATGCAGTATGTTGAAGAAAGAATTTTTTAAAGATTTTATTAATTTTTCAGAGAGCATGGGTGCATACGCAGAAGCAGGGGGAGCAGCAGGCAGAGGGAGAAGTGGGTTCCCCGCTGAGCAACGAGCATGATATGCAGGACTGGAGCTCCCAGGACCCTGGCTGGGATCATGACCCAAGCTGAAGGCAGATGCTTCACTGCCTGAGAGGCATCCCAGGTGTCCCAGAAATGAGAGAATTTAAAGGAGATGATTTAATTTTGTTTTCTCAATGCATAAATTCAACGTTTTAAGCAAATTATCTTAAGTAGCCACTGCTTGATTTCATTAGTTTACTCAGATAACCACTGATACCAAGGGTCTAATATAATGTCATTCAATTAACTGTTAAGTTTTAATGTAATAATGAGCCCACTAATCATTTGGAAAGGAACTTCAAAACTTGCGTTATATTCTCTAGAGTATCCTCTTAGGCCTCCAAGAATAAACTGGATTTTTGGAAACATCCCAAAGCTTCATTCAAATCCAACTCTGAAAGACTGAAACGGTCCAGTGTCAAAAACCATAATGGTTATAAATTAATGAGAATGATTTTCCTAGGTATTCTAAAATTAATTTTATCCACTGCCATCACAGAGTCTACAAGTACTCCTAGTGTCACCCCAACAAAAAGAATGCACCTTGTTCTGCTCTAGTCGTTGCTCATACGCCATTTTATTCCACAGCTTTGAGACAAAACCCACGTATAGGTAAGAATTTAATATATGATAAAGTTGATATCCAAAATCAGATACAAAGGGAGAATTACTAAATATAGTGATGGGAACAGTGTTCTTTTGAAAAAAACAGGGATCCTTAATTTTCATTAGTGTATTTCTCAAATTTAAGCATGTAGTCTCCTTCAGAAGAAAAAAAATTGCCACAATACCTAAAAGTAGACTTAATATATTTTTAATATTTCTCAGATTTGTACTAACAAAAAAATAGGTCCACACTCTTTATTCTTATAGTTCTCATACAATAGAAGCTAAAACATTTATAAATTAAGACCAATAAAATGCAGACTAATCACCTTAATATATAATGTAACAAATAATGCTGTTTTGCTCAAATAATAAAAAAATGTTTTGCCCGAAAGAAATAAATCACAGCTATTTGGTTCAATAGCAAAAAGCTGCAGTTTCAGACTCCATTCTACTTTCAAACTGTTTCTGAAAGTTTTTACTTTAATAATGAAGAGAACAATCGCATAGTATCTTGTTCAAACTAGTATAGATAAATTGAAGGCTTTTTCTCCTTGCAAAGTAATCAGAACAGAAAATTAACCAAACATGTTAAATGTTAGCCCTCAAATGCCAATTTTAAAAGGTGTGAATTGACAGAATGAAAACATAACAACTGACTTTATTCATATCTGCATTAACTACTATTGAATCCAATTAGTTTTAGAATTTGGAACAGAAACATTCTTTACTATTTGCTATTATACTTATTGCTAACGAACTGCTGAGTTATAGGATCCTCCCAACAAAAATGGTACTGATCATTAGGGTACAGATCTTTTCTGAATAAATTTAAGCCCCTACTATGTCAAGAAGCACATCAGGTATATTATGGGTACAGCAACAGCACACCATCATTTTTCTCATTCTCATACTGTAATCCATGTCCTGCAGATTCCACAGTTTTATTTTTTTTCAAATCAGATTTTAATTTTGAATACTTAACACTATTATTGATGTGCATTTCACTTTCCTCATGTTTGCTAAGAATATGTGATAAATGCTGCCAATCTTTGCACCCATTCTCATTCTTCAGTTGATTTTTCCCTTCCCCAAAAAGTCTGCAATACAAACAAAACACAGAATCTTTTGAAGTCGAATAAAGTAACCAGGACCTAGTGGTTTTATCACCATTTGGAAGAATTCGTGTGTAGTAAGTTTCTGAGAATTTCCTCCCTGTACTGTCCTTTGGAAAGTTAAAATTTCTTACTTGAGGCGGATCATTTTCAACAAGAATGTCCCGTTGTTTAGTATTTAAAACTCGGGGCCATGTACCTGGGTCTGTAGAAAGTACAACTGATATAATGCAGTCTTCTGGTTTTTTCTCTTCCAGTGGCTCTTGAAATTTATCAGCTATGGTTAACACCGAAGAAGTTAAATTCACACTCTGTTTGATCAATGATGTATCTGTGCTATATTCTGCCAAAACCTGTAGCTCTGGAGTCTTTTCCTTTTTATTCTGTATTCCCTCTTTTTTTTCTAAAACAGTATTCAATGGCCCATATAATTTTCTTTCATTTTCTTCTCTAACAGCATGCCTTTTTCTGTTTTCTGATGCTGACAAATTTTTTGATTTTGTTTCCATCATCTGGGGAGAAATAGATTACAATTTTATCTTAGATTTGTTGAAAGAAAGCCACCTGGGTGGCTCAGTCAGTTAAACGTCTGCCCTTGGCTCACGTCATGATTTCAAGGTCCTAAAATCGAGCCCCGTTTGGGCTCCCAGAAGGGAGTCTGCTTCTCCCTTTGCCCCTCCCCTCCACTTATCCTTTCTCTCTCAAAATAAATAAAAAGATCTTTAAAATTGATGTATATACAAATGCCCAATAAGCACATGAAAAGCTAATCATCTGTCATCAAAGAACTACAAATCGAAACCATCACATATCACTTCACAACCACTATGATGGCTATAATAAAAGGATATATAATGACAAGTGCTGGAAAAGATGTGAAAAAACTGAAACCTTCCTGGTGCAGATGTAGAATGGTACATGTGCCTTGTAAAACAGCCTGGCAATTTCTTTCTTTTCTTTTTTTTTTTTAAAGATTTTATTTATTTATTTGAGAGAGAGAGAGAGAGAGAGAGAGAGAGAAAGATCACAAGTAGGCAGAGAGGCAGGCAGAGTGAGAGGGGGAAGCAGGCTTCCCACTGAGCGGAAAGCCCAATGAGAGGCTAGATCTCAGGACCCTGAGATCAAGACCTGAGCCGAAGGCAGAGGCTTTAACCCACTGAGCCACCCAAGTGCCCCAGCCTGGCAATTTCTTAATTAGTTACCATATGACCCACCAATACGAGAATGAAAATGCAGGTCTACAAAGATTTGTACAAATTATTCATAGCAACATTATCATAATAGCCAAAAAGTAGGAATAATTCAAATGTCCATTACTGATAGATAAATACAAAATGTGGGTGTTATTCATACAATGAATACTATTTGGTGATTAAAAACAAGTTATATGCTACAACATGGATGAACGTTGAAAACAGTATGATATGTAAAAGCCAGTCACAAAGTATCACATATTGTGTGATTCCATTTAATAAAAACACATAACTGATTTTAGAGTCAATAAAACCTAAAAAAAAATCAAAATAACAAAAATGTATACAATGTAAATGGCACCCAATTAGCTGTAATATTTTTGTATACAGCACAACTTGAACACTGTATTTGGTAATATTTAAAAAACTAAGAACCTTGGGGTACCTGGGTGGCTCAGTTGGTTAAGTGTCCAACTCTGGATTTTGGCTCAGGTCATGATCTCAGGATGGTAAGATCAAGTCCCGCATCGGGCTTTGTTCTCAGGGCAGAGTCTGCTTAAATTCTCTCTTTCTGCCCCTCCTACCTCTAAAATAATAAATAAATTCTATAAACAAAACAAACCAACTAAAAGCTTTGTTTTGATTTAACCCTGAAAGCAACACTGGCAGCATGAAGTAAAAAAAGCAGAAGCAACATAACCAAATTCATACTTAGAAAGGTTGCTCTGATTGCATTATGGATTTTTTTAAAAGATTTTATTTATTTATTTGAGAGAGAGAGAAAGTGAGAGAGCGCACGCGCAAAATCAGGGAGGAGACGGAGAAGCAGGCCCTCCACTGAGCAAGGAGCCCAATGTGGGGCTCAATCCCAGGACCCTGGGATCATGACCCAAGCCGAAGGCAGACGCTTAATGGACCGAGCCACCCAGATGCCCATATTATGGATTTCTAACTGTAAAGAAGACCAAGGATACAGAGACAATCAGAAGCTATGGTAGTTTAATTCTGGCAAGAGATGATGGTAGCTATACATCTAGGGCTGTAGGAGTAAAGACAGGATACAGCTGAGAGATACCTGGATTACTGGTAACTGAGTGGCTCCGGAGGCTAAGGAAGAGGAAGGAGTAAGAATGACCCTAAGTTTCTGCCTAGGCATCTGATTGAATGGTGGGATCATTTACTGATAGAGGAAACAGAGCAAAAACAGGTCTGGAGTTTCAGTTTTAGACAAGGAATTTGAGGTATTTGTGGAACATTCAAATGGAGATTACAGATGGATATATTAGTCTAAAATTGAAAAAAGATCTACACACAAATGGAAAAAAAGGAAATACCATCTACAGATATATTTTGGAAGTTAACCAAAATCTATCATTGAATTATGGGATTGGATGAAACTGTATTGAAAAGACATATAAAAAGGTCAAAAGAAGGCCAATTACTATAGTTAGCGTTATCTTTTATATAACCAAACACAAGCTTACTTAGTCTTGTTTCTCCTTCCTGAGTTTCCCAGTAATGAACAGATATTCAACTTGTTATAGCCATAATTCTCAATGGATGGGCCATGTCCCAACTGTCTGACCTTGGGCAAGTTACTTGACCAATGAAGGTTCAATTTCTTTGGCAATAAAATGAAGATATCAACTGTACCTAACTAGGGAGACTATTTAGATGATCAAATGCAAAAATACATGTAAAACTGTATCTGGCACCACAGTAAAATTATGTTAGCTATTATTATTGGCATGAACGCTAACAATGATACCTGTGATCATTTGATAATTACTGAATATGGTTTAATATCAAGAACTGATAATAAGAAGACAAAGGTGGCTCATCTAAACGCTCATGGGTTTTCTGCTTATTCTAGGTTCCAAGATTAAATTGGTTATATCTATTCCTATTTGTGCCTTCAGGCATCTTTCTGGGGACATTCAACTGAAATTCTCTGAAAATGAAGTTCAAAAATACCCTAGTGCAATACTACATCTCTCACAATCAAAATATTTACTGATGACCTGAATGAAAACCGAGGCTAAGTAAAAACAGGTGAGCAGGCACCAGTTTAACTAAAACACTGGAAAGAAAGGTACCAAGATGAAGAGCACTGTATTTATTGACAGAATCTCTTTTCACTCTCAGAAGTGTCCCAGTTAGGTGGTTAAGTCACCCCACATATAAGGCTACTAATTCTGAAAACTACTAAATTGAATGAGATATAGATCCTGGCTTCAGGGAACCTACCACTTATTAAGGGCAATAAGGCACATGTATAATTAAATATTCATGTCAGATGCAATAGAGCAAACTAAGGTTTTGGACTGAGGTCAAATCTTACTTGGGGTATAAGATACTTTCTCTGAACTTCAGTATCTTTGACATATTGTAAAAGTTTTATTCAATCAAAATTGAATATACATTTAATATAAATCAACAACTAGCTATATCTGGTTAATTAAACAGCACTCCCCTTCCACCTTTACCCATTTCTGCTTTCCCAAAAGTTAATAACTTTTACCACTATTAGTTGATTCACTTGGTGTTTATGTCCAAATCTCAAAGTAGTATGTTTTATCACTATTTACTGGCTTTTCCTCCCAATTTCAGGCATCACAGATTGGCTTTTCAATGAGGAAGATAGAAATTTAGTTTTCCTCCTTCTCAGTGTATTTACCACGTGTACCATCCAGCCACCTATTTATCCTCTGGTTGTAGGATTTCTTAACTATCTTGCTATTGACATCTAGAGCCAGAAAATTCTTTATTGTGAGGGCCTGTCCTGTGCATTGCAGGATGTTTAACAGCATCCCCAACCCCCTCCCAGTGGATGCCAACTATATAATGAAAAATATTTAGATGTTGCCAAATGTCCTTAGGGGAAATAAATGATCCCTGGTTAGGTCACTGGGTAAAATCAAGATTCAATCTTTACATTTATAACTGTGTATGTTATTCTCAGATAAACCACTAACTGCAAGATTTCAGTTTTTCTTTACAGTCTTCTTCTATTACTAAGACTTTTTATTGTGAAAAGGACTGTCACTAACCATTAATGTGGTGGTGGCGGTGGTGGGGAGGTACATCATTTATAAAATATCTATATTTTATGGAAATATTCTTGTATTTGCCAACTGCTTATGAGGTATTTTGCATCATTGAGATATACGTAGCAGAATGGAGAGACTTTTCCTGAGGATGAGAGTGGCAGACAATAAAGTAATTCAAGAAAGTCTGGATATATAATTGCTGCCTATTTTGACTATGTGTATTTTCTTGTTTTTACTTCCTTTGGTTTTCATTTAGGAGTAAAAAGTGGGTCATCTATGTGCAAGTTTCATGCTCTTCAGATGATATGCATTACATGCATGTAAAGTTTATGAGCTCATTGCCTTTAACAAAAAGTCACGGTCTAAGCAGATATAAGTAAATCATCCATTAAAAAAATACTTGTAAAAAATATTAAGACCTTATAAAAATACTGGTTCGCTACCAAATTAGTTCACTGTATTTTTGCCATGCACTCCTTTGTTGTTTTTCTTTTGAAGACTTTATTTATTTATTTGAGAGAGATCACAAGTAGGCAGAGGGGTAGGCAGAGAGATGGTGGGAAGCAGGCTCCCCGCTGAGCAGAAAGCCCTATGTGGGGCTGGATCCCAGGACCCTGGGATCATGACTGAAGCCGAAGGCAGAGGCTTTAACCCATGGAGCCACCAAGGTGCCCTGCTATGTACTCTTCTGAAAAGATAATATCTATGCTAAATCATTTTTGCCTATTTTGTTTTTAAAGATTTTTATTCATTCATGACAGACAGAGAGAGAGGGAGAAGCAGGTTCCCCAAGGAGCAGGGAGCCCAATGCAGGACTTGATCCCAGGATCCCGGGACTATGACCTAGGCTGAAAGCAGACGTTTAACCATCTAAGCCACCCAGGCACCCCATTTTTGCCTATTTTAAACTGTTCATTGTTATCTTCTATAAGCTACATCCAAAAGCTTTACTAAAAATGAGGTGCGGTATATATAAAGAAAATAATAAAGCTTACATATAGAAGTCTTTCTTTAAAAACTTAAAAGTTAACTATAGACACCTATTGTTTCTTCTATAATAAGTCTGGCACACTCCAGGGTTACTTTTCCCTTAAACTAACCACTAATATCCTCATCCAGTGAAATAGGGGTTACGAATATTCCTGGTTTTGCATTTATGATCCATCTTGAATAAATTTTTTTGTATGGGAAAAAAAATGGGGTCAAAGCTCATGTATTTCCAAATAACCAAAAATGCATCCAACCTTGTTAAGAAGATCTTACTTTTCCCATTAAAATTATATGGTACCAATTGATGGAAGATAGCAGAGTAGGAGGGTTTTGAGCTCACCTTGTTCCATGGGTGCAACAAGGGAACAGCTATACCCAACACAACTAACTGGAAATGACCTAAAGACTGACAGAACACATCTTCCATGGCTAATCATAGAAGCCCACATCGAAAAGAGATGTACTTGGGAACCAAATACCTGGTGTAACTAACTACAACTAGAAGGGACCTCATAAGTGTGGAGAAGAAAGGCTTAGACCCCACACAGAGGACCATTGGCACTGGGGATCTGCACTGGGAAGATGAGTTGTTATAATGTATAGCTTTGAAAACCAGCAGGGGTTAACTCCAGAAGCTTTAAAAATCAGTGGCGCTTATAGGAACCACTATAGGAACAGGCCCCTTTCCTTGCACCCCACCCTCTCCCCCTACAGGTGTAGGGAGAGACTCCTAGGAGAGGCTCCTCCCAGGGGAGAGGGCTGTGTTGGTCTTTGTTGTAGGGCTCATTAGCCCTATCCCCCACTCTGCACCCTCTTGGGATGTTTGGCCACAGAGTGAGGGTGTGCTCCTATATCCTGACTCTGACCCCCTATATTCCTACCATGTCGTGTCTGGCTCACCTCTGCTTGAAAAAAAGTAATGCTTCTGCCTTAAAAGGAAAAAAAAAAAAAAGCAGCAGTGCGGCTTAACTCTGAAAGCTTTAAAAAATCAGTGGGCTTAACTCTAGGACAGCTGGAGGGTGATAGGAAACTAAGTCCTCACCCTTGAAGAGGCAGCATACTAAATAATGACCTGAGACATAGAAGAGAAGTAACAGTTTGAAAGGCATCTGAGGTACACATCAAGATTTACTGACTTGTCTGAGAAGGTGTGCCAGAGGGGTAGGATCTACAGATTACTCTAAGAAAAGTGCTGGTGGGCACCATTCCCCCCCACCCCTGGCTTAGATAACTGGTCATTTGCAAGAGCCAACACAAATACTCTCCATCTATCTTGCTAGCACTGCGTACCCTGCCCCATCCAACCAGGCAGCCTCAGCTGGGACTCACACCACTCTAAAGTGATTCCTACCCTGGGAAAGTGGGGGGAAATAAGCCCACCCACCATGCCTACAATTCTTGTAGCTGGGAATCTTAGGTGGCAGCACAGGGAGCAAGACCTGCCCTTTGATGCACTTATAGCTGTGACAGAAAGGGAAACTGCAGACTGCTAGGCTGATGGCTGCCCCACCCATCAATGAGACCACAACAGCTGCCTGCAGCAGCCATGACAGGTTCCTCAACAGCACCCAGAGCAAACCCTGCCCAGTGCACCCACAGCAAACAAAGTGGGTCACTATAGGTGGTTGGACTGAAGGCAACTGTGGCTCAGTTACAAAGGAGGGTACACACACCCCACACAAGGGACACCCTGGAGCATTTGGTTCTGGTGACTAGGAGAAATTGTTATAGGGCAACCACAGGACTTCTACATAATGCCACCATTTTCAAGACGAGGATATTTAGCTGACCTTCTTAATATGGAGAAACAAACACAGAAAATTAGATAAAATGAGACAGAGGAATGTGGCCCAAATGAAAGAAGAGGACAAAATTACAATAAAAAAGCTAAATGAAATGGAGATAAGCAACATGCCTGACAAAGAAGTCAAAGTAATGCTCATAAAGATACTCACTGGACTTGAGAAAAGAGTAGATGAACTCAGTAAGAACTTCAACAAAGGGACCGAAAATACAAAAAAGAATCAGTCAGAGCTTTAAGAATTCAGTAACTGAAACAGATTAGAAGAAGCAGAAGAACAGAGCAGCAATCTGAAAGAATACTGGCAATCATTCAAGCTAAACAGCAGAAAGAAAAAAGAAAAAAAAAAAAAAAACAAAAAACAAGAAAAGGTTAGCAACATCATTAAGCATAACAACATTTGCAGTGTAAGGATGCCAGAAAGAAACTTATTTCAATAAACAATAGCTGAAAACCTCCCTAATCTGGGGAAGTAAAAAGGTTTAGGAAGCACAGAGAGCCCCTACCAAGATGAACCCGAGAAGGTCCATGCCAAGACACATAATAATGAAAATGGCAAAAAGTAATAATAAATACAGAATTTTTAAAGAAAAGAAAATAGTTACAGAAAAGGGAAACCTAAGGCTATCAGCTGATTTTTCATCAGAAACTTTGCAGACCAAAAGAAAGTGGTATGATATTTCAAAGTGCTGAAAGAAGAAACCTATGACCAAGAATACTTTACCCAACAAGATCATCATTCAGAATAGGAGAGTTTCCCAGACATACAACAGTTAGAGTTCATCACCGCTAAACTAGTCTTACAAGAAATGTTAAAGGGAATTTTTTAATAAAGATTTATTTCTTTGAGAGAGAGAGAAAGCATAAGAGTGAAGAGTAGGGGCAGAGGGAGAGGGAGAAGCAGACTCCCCACGGGGCTCCATCCCAGGATCCTGGGATGATGACCTAAGCCGAAGGTAAAAGCTTAAGTGCCTGAGAGACCCAAGCACTCCAGGAATTCTTTCTTTTAAAGATTTATTTACTTATTTATTTTTTTAAAAAAAGATTTTATTTATTTATTTGACAGCCAGAGATCACAGGTAGGTAGAGAGACAAGAGAGAGGAAGAAGCAGGCTCCCTGCTGAGCAGAGAGCCAGATGCGGGACTCAATCCTTGAACCCTGGGATCATGACCTAAGCCGAAGGCAGAGGCTTTAACCCACTGAGCCACCCAGGCGCCCCAAGATTTATTTACTTTAGAGAATATATGTCGGGGGAGTGCAGGGGGAGAGGGAAAGAGAGAGGGGAAGCAGACTCTTGGTTTGGCATGAAGCCCGATGGAGAACTCAATCCCAAGACCCTGAGATCACAACCTGAGTCAAAACCAAGAGTCAGACACTTAACGGACTAATCCACCCAGGAGCCCCACAAGAAATGTTAAAGGGAATTCTTTAACTGGAAAGAAAAGGTCATAAGTTGCAGAAAATTACGAAAAGAAAAAAATCCACAGGTATAAGCTAATATATAGTAAAGGTAGTAGATTAATCACTTATAAAATCAGTATGGAGTAGTAAAATCTATTGCCATCTACAAAAATTAGTTCAGGAATATGCAAAATAAAAGGATGTAAGTAAAATATGACATCATATACATAAAATGTGGAAAGGAAGTAAAAATGTAGTGCCTTCAGAATGTGTTTGAAATAATGCAATCATCAACTTAACAGAGACTGCTATACTAAGACTGCTATGTAAGATGTTAAATATGAACTGAATGGTAACCACAAATCAAAACTTGTCATACACAAAAAATGAAGAGAAAGGAATTCAAGCATAACATTAAAGAAATCCATCAAACCATAAGGGAAGACAGCAAGAAAGGACATACAATTGTAAATATCTATGCACCAAACACAAGATACATAAATACATAAAATAAGTGTTAACAGAAATAAGAGAGAAATTGATAGTAATAGAGGGGACGTTAACATCTCACTTGCATCAATGAATAAATCATCTAGACTACAAATCAACAAGAAAACTATGGCTTTGAATAACACATTAGACTGGATGGCTGAAACAGGCATATACAGAACATTCCATCCCAAATCAGCAGAATGCATTGTTTTTAAGAACACAAGAAAACACTCGCTTGGACAGATCACGTTAGGCCACAAAATAAGTCTCAATAAAGTTAAGACTGAAATCATATCAAGCATCTTTCCTGAGAACAAGAGTATGAAACTACAAGTCAATTATAAGAAAAAAATGGGAAAAAAACAAATAGATGGAGGCTAAAAAACATTCTACTAAACATCAATGAATGGGTCAATGAAGATATGAAGAGAAAATAAAAATAATATGGAGATAAATGAAAATGGTCCAAAATCTTAGGGAAGCAGAAAGTTTATAGCAACACAGGCCTACTTTAAAAAAGCAAAACATGGGACGCCTGGGTGGCTCAGTGGGTTAAGCCGCTGCCTTCGGCTCAGGTCATGATCTCAGGGTCCTGGGATCGAGCCCCGCATCAGGCTCTCTGCTCAGCAGGGAGCCTGCTTCCTCCTCTCTCTCTGCCTGCCTCTCTGCCAGCTTGTGATCTCTCTGTCAAATAAATAAATAAAATCTTAAAAAAAAAAAAAATAAAAAAAATAAAAAAGCAAAACAAATCTCGAACAATCTACCATAAACTTAAGAGTTAGAAAAAAGAACAAAGGAAGTTCAAAGCCAGTAAAATGAAGAAAATAAGAGTAAAAATAAATTCAGAGATTAAAAACACAATAGAAAAGACCACTTGAAAAGATAAAATAACTGATAAAGCATTAGCCACTCATCAAGAAAAAAACTCAAATAAAATCAGAAATGGAGAATAATGACACTATAGAAACACAAAAGATTTTAAGAGGATATTACAAAAAATTATATGCCAACATACAGACAACCTAGAAGAAATGGGTAAATTCCTAGAAAAATATACTCTTCCAAAACTCAATCAATATTCAAAAAACTCTCAACCAAAGTCCAGGACTGGCTTCATAAATGAATTCTACCAAACATTTAAGAAAAGTTGATACCAAAAAAAAAAAAAAAAGAGAGAAAGAAGAAAAGTTAATACCTATTCTCTAAGAAGAGAAGGAAAACTAGCTTAGAATAACCAATAGATTTCAAAACTCATTTGAGATGGGAGCTGAATGACAGATCGACAAAAATGGAAACTAAATGAGATTCTAAGATAAATTTGGTTAATGTAAGCTAAGAGGAAGAAGCTATTGTATACTTGATCATTTAAAATGCACTGAAAAGAATTACCTGTTTATATTCATTGACACAACCTTGACAGCAAAATCTTGTCTGCTGACCTTCAATGATCAGAACATTGTTTCCAGCACTTTTACTGGGCAAGTACTCTCCACACTGTTCACAGCAATTCATTATCAGACCATTGGCTAACCTGTACTTATTAAAGCACTGGTTACTGCACAGTTTATGTATTACATTATTAACGCTGACTTCATGGCGAATCTAAAAGAAAAGCCAGAATTTATTAAATAAATGAGTCAGATTACCACAGTAAGCAAGGAGACAACAATACAACTACCGCCCCCCCCACTCCAAATAAAACCCAAAACAAAAAAACCAACCTCTAGTAATTTCTCAGTGGAAGAAATATTCAGGGAAAAGACTAAAAAGCACATTTTGTCATTCTTCCATTTTTATCTGATTTCTTTGTAAAACTAATTTTACAAAAGAAAAAGATTCATAGAACAAAAAAACCCTATAAAATCAGTAATAACTTCTCCAGAGACACTTAAGAACTGGAAGAAATGAACTGGCTTAGATGACTTTGATATGATTTCTGGTATTAAACTTCATTGCCCTAGAAAATTTATGAGAGGGGCTAAAGAAATAATATTACCATATTCAGGATGGTATCTGTATATACACAAGCAAGGTGGTTCTTGCTTTGTTCAGTTCTGTGGTAACTAAGATAAAATCATGTCCTCAATTTGCAAGGCTCTGGGAAACACCAAATTCAGTCACCAAGGACTGTGTTAAGTGAAGACAGCCTTTATGAATGTTTCTTCTTTCAGCAACTGGAAAGATGGCAATACCACTTAAGAAATGTGAGGGTATCAACACACCTACACTCCACTTGTTCTACATGTTCTTGTACCAGGATTGGTTGCATCTTTCACATCCTGAACCTATACTTTTATTTAGAGTGACTAGTAAGAACAAAATTCACCACAGAACTATTGCTTTGTTTGGAAGCATATTCAACTTCATGGAAACAGCAGTGTACTTTCCATAGCATGCAAATGGGGTATCTGTTCCTAAGAGAGTTAGTTCTAACATATCCTTATCCTTCCCCTTAACATCCAGGGCATTATTAGCAGATGGCAGAGCATATAATAACACTGAAAAGTTAAAATTATCCCTGTTAACCTAGATAATAACTGAAATAAGATATAAAAATCCAGACCTCTGTTAGTTTACTACAGATTATACATCTTGATTTATTAATTCTTTTTCTAAGATTCTGGTTGTCTTCATAGGGAGGCAAAGACGTACTACAAAATTCTTGGGAGGAGTCTCTTGACTCAACTTGAGGAACAGTAGTAGCCTTTTTTGTAGGTACATCTCTGAAACCAAAGATACAGACATAACCTAAGAATACTGCACTTTAATAAAAGTCAAATATATTAACAATAAGCAACATTTTTTGCTTTTTTCATGATTTAATCCTAGGAATCAACTATATTTTTTGTATCTAACAAAACCTACTTTTTTGGTTTCATTGTCAAGCGTTCCTAATTAATATGGCAAGAAATGATTTGGAGGTAAAAACATTTTGTTAACAAAGAACCTTATCACAGGTTATTATGACTTTTTGAAGCATTCAAAAAGGGTGGCAACAACTTGGTAGAACTAAGGTAAAAGATGGGGAAGGGATGAAGCAAAGACAGTGGCAGGGAGAGGGTCAATTTATTTCTATATCTACATTCCATTTCCTGCCAAGAATAAGGACAGTACAAATGAACCCATAGCTCTGATACACCTTAGGATAACTCAAGCTTAAAAAACCTGAAGATACCTTTGCAACAACTGTATCCATGAATCTGTGCAGCTCTCCAATTACATTCAACATACATCTATACTGCCAGAATTCAACTATATGAAGCCATGTTGAAAAGTACAGCTTACTTTTTACTTATAACATTGCGTTTCTTTGGAGTGCGCTTATGAGAGAAAGAAGAAAGGCAGGTGGTAGAACAAAAGAGGTGAACTGATCCTTTTCGTTGGTAAGCTGTCTGTCCCTTCTGTAAAGGTTTTCTGCAGTGTGCACAAGTGATTTTAGCTGGTTTTGTAAGTTGCTGTTGGACTGAAGACTGGAAAATCTGTTTAGGAAGGGAGGCCACTGGTGCTAAAGAATCCACACCTGGCTGTTTCTGATTACGGGGAAATGATGCTGACTGGGAGATCCAAGACTCTTAAAAACAAAACACACAAGAAAAAGTCATGAAACAAGTCAAAATTCACATCAGAAAAATATGTTAAATTTTCATTTTGCATAAGTTTAACAGAATAATGACAAAGCCCTATAAACAAGTGGTTAAAGCCAGGCAGCACTGTTGCGCACAATCCCAGGGGAATGCTTCACTTTGGTTTTTTTTTGGTGAGGGAGGATCTTAAGCAGGCTCCAAGCCCAGCGAGGAGCCTGATGGGGGTGGGGACGGATGTGGGACACTCGATCTCATGATCATGACATCATGACCTGAGCCAAAATCAAGAGTTGGATGCTTTACTGAGCCACGGAGGTACCCCTCTACTTTGTATTCACAGTAAACAATACTCTATTGTGAAAATGTAGTATGTGTTGACTCTTGAATCAAGTAATGTGGTAATCATCACTTAAGTCAGAGACCCCAAGTTCAAAATACATCTTTTTTTTTTTTTTTTAATATTTTATTTATTTAACAGAGAGAGACACAGCAGGAGAGGGAACACAGGCAGGGGGAGTGGGAGAGGGAAAAGCAGGCTTCCTGATGAGCAGGGAGCGTGATGCAGGGCTCAATTCCAGGACCACAGGATCATTACCTAAGCTGAAGGCACATGTTTAACCAACTAAGCCATCTAGGCACTCCCCACCCCAAACACTTTTTAAAGCAACTATTTCTACAATTCCTTCTCAGCCTTCTAAATATTATTCCATAATCATTAATACAGGTGATAGGTTAATATGGGAAGACTCAGTTTTCCTAACTTCACGACAGGGACTCCTCCATCATATATTATTCTTAGCTTCAAAATGGTACAGTATTATGTAAAGGTAACAGTGTTTCTCAAACTTTAACATGCATGAGATCACTCGGGAATCTTTTTTAAACAGAGATTCTAGGGTTGCCTGACTGTCTCAGTTGGTAGAGCAAGTGACTTTTGATCTCGGGTTTGTGAACTTGAGCCCCATGATGGATGTAGAGATTACTCAGAAATAAAATTGTATATATAATATGCATTTATACACACACGTATATACATGTACATTCATACACACATCTATATAAATATAAATCCATTCATTCAAAATCAACAGGTCTAGGGAGGGGTGTAAAGTTCTCCATTTCTAACTCCTGCATGATGGTGAAGCTTTGAGGCCCCAGAGTACTGAATTATTCTATCACTATCCTCAAAAACAGTTTTTGTAGGAGGGCCTCGGTGGTTCAGTTGGTTGAGCATCCAACTCTTGATTTCAGCTCAGGTCGTGATCTCATGGTAGGATCTAGCCCCAGGTCAGGCTCTGAGCTCTGCCAGGACTTTGCTTGGAAGTTCTCAGCCTCTTCCTCTCCTCCAGCCCCCCACCCACCCTCCATCAGGCACTCTCTCTCTAAAATAAAAAATAAATCTTAAAAAAAAAGAACTTTTGTCATTAGTGAGAGATCTATTGCCCCCAAAGGCCTCTCACAGTATTAATACTGAGAACTATATCTTCATTCCTAAATTCCTACCTACTGCTTCTAATTTTTTGTCCTATTTCAAGATACCTTTATCTTTTTAAAAAGATTTATTTTTACAAGAGAGAGACAAGAGAGAGAGTGCGTGCATGAACCAGTGGTGGAGGGGATAGTGGGGGGACAGAGGGAGAAGCAGACTCCCCGCTGAGCAGGGAGCCTGATGCAGGACTTGATCTCAGGACCCTGGGATCATGACCTGAGCCAAAGGCAGATTTTTTTTTTTTTTAAAGATTTTACTTATATTTATTTGACAGAGATCACAAGTAGGCCGAGAGCCAGGCAGAGAGAAAGGAGGAAGCAGGACCCCCGCTAAGCAGAGAGCCTGATTAGGGCTCCATCCCACAACCCTGGGATCATGACCTGAGCCGAAGGCAGAGGCTTTAATCCACTGAGCCACCCAGGCGCCCCCCAAAGGCAGATGCTTAACCGAATGAGCCACCCAGGCGCCCAAGATACCACCATCTTACAAGCAAAAATAAAACAGATAACAAATACAATTCTTTCTTTCTACAGAATGACAAGCTGGCAAATATGGAATGTAGCATAATAAAGGTTTTTTAATCACCTAGGGCTAAGTTTCATTACTGATAAATTTTCCTACTTCTGAACCACTCTAAAGAAAATAAAGTTACAGGGTGCCTGGGTGGCTCAGTGGGTTAAAGCCTCTGCCTTCGGCTCAGGTCACGATCCCAGGGTTCTGGGATCGAGCCCCACATCGGGCTCTCTGCTCAGCAGGGACCCTGCTTCCTCCTCTCTCTCTGCCTGCCTCTCTGCCTACTTGTGATCTCTGTCAAATAAATAAATAAAATCTTAAAAAAAAAAAAAACAAAAAGAAAAGAAAAGAAAATTACAGATTCATCTATAGAACATAGGTTGCACTCTGAGACTACTTTTTTATATATCATCCAGATGCCACACTAGATTGAATAAATAACGAATAAAAAATAGCAACAATTACAAGATTTGTCATTAGCATTAAAATGGGAGAATTAGGGGTACCTGGGTGACTCAGATGGTTAACTAGCTGCCCTGGCTCAGGTCATGATCCTTCTCAGCAGGGAGTCTGCTTCTCCCTCTGCCCCTCCCCCTACTCTTGCTCTCTTTCTGTCCCCTTCTCTCTCTCAAATAAATAAAATCTTAAAGGGAAAAAAAAAAAAATCTCTCTGCCCCTCCCCCCATGTGCTCATCCTCTCTCTCTAAAAATAAATAAATAGGTGCTCCTGGGTGGCTCATCAGTTAAGCGGCTGCCTTCAGCTCAGGTCATGATCCCAGGGTCCTGGGATCAAGCCCCACAGAGGGTTCCCCACTCAACAGAAAGCCTGCTTCTCCCTCTCCTTATGCCTGTCACTCCCCCCTGTTATGCTCTCTCTCTGTCAAATAAATAAATAATCTTTAAAAATATATTAAAAATATAAAAACAAACAAATCTTTTAAAAATACGGGAGAAAAAAAACTCTGAGCAAAGAATACTGGGCTTTTAAATTTTGTGGACATATCCATAAAGGTAGCATATTTATACATATATATATAATTATGGAATTTGAGACAGCTGCTTAGGACAATAATTAGATTCTGAAAAAAATTTTTTAAGACTTTATTTATTTATTTGATAGAAGACACAGAGAGAGAGGGAACACAAGCAGGAGTGGGAGGGGGAGAAGCAGGCTTTCCGCTGAGCAGGGAGCCTGATGCAGGGCTTGATCACTAAACTCGGGGATCATGACCTCAGTTGAAGGCAGATGCTTAACAACTGAGCCACCCAAGAGCCCCCTGAAATTTTTTTTTAGTATTTTATTTTTTAAATATCTACATCTAACATGGGGTTTGAATTCACAACCCTGAGATTAAGAGTTAAATGCTCTTCAAACTAAGCCAGCCAGGTACCCCAAGATTCTGAAATTTCTTTTTCACAGTAGCTTTGGTGGCTACATAAATAAAACAAATGTTTCCTTTGTTAATAGCACAACTGTTTTATTTCTCCAAATTTCAAATTTTCTTATTTCATCAATTTTTAAATTTCATTTTATTTTTGGTATTTGTATCTCCAGCTTAAACTTAACCTTTTAATCAAATTCTTCCATGTCCTATCCTAAGAATGTTTTAAGAGGAGAAGGGCCCTTGTAGGTTACTTAGTCCAAATCCTGGTTATATACAAGGAAAATTGAGTCCTAGAAGTTACATGATTTATCCAAAGCTTAATAAATACTATATACCCTACTGACTTTTAGACGTTACTCATTTGTTCTCGCATCTAAACTCTTCTGCTTAAAAATATTTCAGCATTTCTACTATAGTGTTGGTCTGCTAATCTGAAAAGTTCTTTTGGTGTCTCACATAAAGAGACACCAAACCCACTTTTGGCGTTTTTTTTTTTTTTTTTGACTGTTAAAGAATAATGTACACATAAAGGTTTATAAATCTTTATGTGTGGAGCTCAATTAAATTTTTTAAAGTTTTTTTTTTTTTTTTTTTTGAGAGAGAGAAAGGGGGAAAGGGCAAGAGAGAATGTGAAGCAGGCTCCACACCCAATGCAGAGCCTGACACGGGGCTCAATCTCGACTGAGATCCTAACCTGAACCCATATGAAGAGTTGGATGAGCCACCCAGGCACATGGCTCAATTAAACTTTTTACAGTGAATATGCCTGACCACCACCCACATCAACAAACAGAAAAAGTCCAATATCCCAGAAGCCTTGTCTTTTCTCGATAATTTCCTTCTATTCCTGTAAGCCATCCCTATTCGAACTTCAAAGATTAGTTTTCTCTTATTTTGAAATTAACATACACTGAAAATCATACAGTATGTACAACTTTGTGGCCGATTCCCTTAACTCAACATCTTGTAAGGTTCAGTCATATTACGTGCAGTAATATTCCACTGTGTGGCTAGAAATATTTATCAATCCTACTGTTGATGGACATTTGATTGTTACAAATTTTGACTATGATTTCTGTACACGTCTTTTAATGGTTTCTTAAGGTATTTATCCTGCATGGGGTTTGTAAATGTTCTTGAATTTGTAGGCTAATGTGTTTTTATGCCATTTTAGAAAATTCTCAATTGTACTTCTTCTGTCTCATTTCTCTCCTCCTCCTCCTGGAACATTAAACACATGGGGCTTTTTGTCAGTATCATAGACCTCTTACATTCTTTTCTGGTTTTCCACCTTTCTATGATTCAATCTGGACTTTTTCTTATTTCTTCCAATTCACTTATACTCTTCTTCAGCTATGCCCAACCTGCAGTTAAAACGCAGTTTCTTAAAATCTTTATCTAATAATCCTATTATCTAGATCCCTTGTAGGTTCACCTCTACTGTCTTTTCCTTTTCATTTTCTGTGATATGGTCTTGTCTCCTAATGTTCCTGATTACTTTTTATTGTGCTTACATGAAAAGCTGAGGCTCTGTATTATGTCAGCAACCCAAGCCAGAGGTTGAAGTAGTTTTGGGGGGGGGGGGCTGTTTGTTTTTTCT